AAGGGAGGGTCCCACGTTTGTGTTCTGGGTCGAGTGAGTTCGAAATAAAGGGCTAAAGTTTAACTAAATGTAATGAGGTTTGTGACGTGTTTCTCTCTGTTGTCGTTCCAGGGTTGAAAAGGACTGTACTTACCACTGGTTTCAATATCACCATGGAAACACAGCCACGCCGAGACGCCAGCAAAGATCTCTCCGACATTTCGCTATCTAGCAGCGCAAGCGGTCTCGTGTGCTCTCTCAAGGCTACAGTCTGGCAAGATCAGTTATCCCCCCTGCCTCCCTTGCGTACAGTTTCTCCAGGCGGTTAGGGTACCGTTGATGAAGCCCTTTAGATTTTCAGCAGAATGTGAAAGACGTTTCAGCATAACACCACAATGAAACACACACACCAACAACACTTTCACACTCACACACACTCACACACACACACACACACACATACACACACACACACACACACACACACACACACACACACACACACACACAGTCCCTTTCAGTCCCTGAACCTTCCTGATATTATTCTCCACGTAGAGAGTTTTGCGGATCTGACTTGACGTTGAAATGTGTCCATACGTTTGTGGCTAGACCACCACGTGTATCCTCTCAATGTCGGTCCGACTCCATCTTCAGTGTGACAGATGTGATATCAAATCAGAGTGATAAGACAGACGAACAACCCTTTGTAATTTTCTTTTTTTTTCCTTAAAAAATACCTTATTGTTTTCGTTTTGTTCACGTACAAGTAAAGAATTGTGTACATAATTGGTATTGACAACCTCTCACACAAACATACACCCCCATACGTTTTGATGATTTTTTTTTTCTCTAACTTTTATTGCTATTATTATTATCTATTTATTTGTCTTTTTTGGTCTTGGAAATTACGTGCAATAAAATTTAGATCTTTTGCAGTCATGCGTACAGATTTGCTGGGTTAAATCGTTTTGTCTCGACAATGTTTGGAAGTGACCCATTCTTCAACTACAATTTTTGCTTGTAGAAATAAAAAAGAAAAGCAAATATAATCGACCTCTGCGGCTTGGCTTCCTTCATCCGATATATATATATTATACAGTCTGAGCCTCCGTCCACTGAAGCAGGGTTCGAACATCAAACCACAGCCAGTCAGTCACGCCCTCTACTCCGTCTTTAGTAAACACCAACAAAGTCAGAGTGAGGGAATACCATCGCAGTGTACAGTGAAGTTTTACCATCAAGCCAAAGAAAGCGAACTATAATCATACTACTACTTCTAACAACGTGAAGACAGATCTAACGAAGCCAAGCCGTAGTTCCGATTTTCCCTGCTTTCTGGGACACACCAATATCTCAAAAGGAGAATTTCAGAAGAAACGGTTTTTAATTGGAGTCAAGTCTTAGCGTGCTGCAAAAAGTGATATTATACAATATGATCAGTTTCTATTATTCTAGCATCAGTTATTTATTTTCATATCCGTTCTGTTTTGAGTCTTTCTACTCCCTGTGCAAACCGTCCGGCAGTGGTAGAGCTAAGCGGATTTAGAGAATAAAAACAATTTTGTGTTACAAGGAAACCACAAGCTTTTTGGTGTTTGTCACAGTTTGTGCCATTGTATGTGTGTGTATGTGTGTGTGTGTGTGTGTGTGTGTGTGTGTGTGTGTGGCTGTGTTTGGTTGTGTTTGTATTATCGTGTCTGTGTAACTGTCTCTTACTTCGTTCTTACATAATCACTTTCTTTCTTTCGTTTTTTTCTCTGTCTATCTATTTATCTATCTATCTATATAATGCTGATGCTGCAAATGATGATGATGGTCTAATTGGACTTTGCCATTCATGAGAATGGAAATGCGCGCACACACACACCCATGCGCACACACACACGCACACAAAAACGACACACACACCCACCATACACACACAAACCGAGCAGAGCTATACACACATTTGGGCAATTTCTCATCATATATATATATATCAAATCGGATGTGTCGCATAATAATCAATACACTTGCTGCATTGAAAAGGACCGTAAAACTAAACCACACGACAGCACCATATTGTCAAAATCGGCTCATCCTCAGCCAAGCGAGATCCTGTTGAGGTTATTGAGTCACAATACTGCGGCGGTGTCCTGTTCTGAGATGTACAAAAACATTGACCTAATTACGTCACTTTTTCCCCCACATTGTATCATCATACAGTGTAAAGCACATAGAGCTTGCTTTTGAGTGAGGACATGCGCTATACAAATGCTATTTATTCTTCTTATTATCATTCACAACCAGAACAACACCGGCGTTTGTGCGGTAGTGGTTAGACACTTTGTTATCCCAAGCTGGAGACCTCAGTTCGCTTCCAGAGTGGGGAAGATTTTTTCTATTGAGTACCTCAGTCTTTCTGCCCGGATGCTGTATCCCTCTCAGCCGAGGTTCTCGTTGCTCTCACATGTAGGGTCGGTGGCCCGCCTCCTAAAGGATCTCAGTTGTGAACATGTGTGTGAGTAAAATCCAATCTACATTGTGAAACAATAACAACAACAAAAAACCCCCCAACACAAAACAAAAAAGCAAAAAACCAAAAACAAAACGCAATTACCAAATGTGATACTTAGCTCTCAGCAGTAAAACAACTAAAAGAACTGTACTATTTTTGGACATTTTGGGCTGATAATAAAGGGAAATTTCAAAGAGGGTCAAAAAGTCAAATTATGGTTTGAACATTTAACCAGAATGCTCTAGAAACAACTAGCGGCTAGAGCTTACAACACCAGAGAATCCGGCTTTAAATCGAGAGAAAGACCAAGAAAGAACCTTATTGGCTGGGCTTAAAAGGATCCAGGAACAACATAACACACCTATCACAGAGGCTACACACCTAGCACAGGACTGAAACCTGCACCTCCCCTCCACATCCTAAAGATACCAGAGGAAGGAAAAAGTCAAAGTAATAAAGGGAAAATATAATAATAATAATAACAATAAATAACATTTGTATAGCACATGTCCCCGCTCAACAGCAGGCTCTATGCACTTTACACTATATTATTACCCCAGCAGACCATAGAACACTCCGAAACATTCTCAGCTTCCCGGGAAGCATACAGTGCAAGCAGCTGATTAAGCGCTCAAACACTAACAAACTGACAAGATCTTTCGCTGTCTATAGCCGTTACCCATTCCCACCTGGGTGAAGTGAGGAAAATTCGTGTAAAATGCCTTTCCCAAGGACACAACGTCGGGCCCCTGACGGGATTCGAACCTTCGACCTTACGGTTGCGAGTCCGAGAGCCTAACCACTAGGCCACCGACGCAACCTCTTATTTTTTTTATCCTCAATTTTCTCAAAGATACACAGACAGACTCTGACATCGTCGATATGTTATCTGTATCTTGTGCTGAAATCAGGCGCTCGTCAAAATAGTGAAATCAAAGAAACCAGCATTTTCTAGCCATGGGGCAAGATTTTTTTAAAATTATTTTTTTTCGCTCAGCACCTTTTATAATCATACTTAAAAACACAATTGTGTGTGGATTTTATGGATGTAAATTTTTAGCTTCCAAGGACTCTCAAACTAGATAAAAGACAAGTTCATTTTCACTCCGAAATCAGATGACCCTCACCTCTTTCAATTACAAATATCTCGCTTTCTATTTAAGGTAGATAGATATTTTCTTTCATCGAAAGCAAGGCAAAATTATACGAATGCAAATATACAGCTTTAAAATTATAAATACTTATTCAAATATATACAAGCTTTAAAATTATAAATACCAATTCAAATATATACAAGCTTTAAAATCCTACCAATAACTCCACATGCCCCAAAAACAAGCGCCTGATTCCACCACGTCCTGACACTTAAATAATATCTTGTCGTGTTTTGGTTTTTATAACACTGAAACCACTCATAAAACAAAAACACTTTCAAGATTTCAAGACTGCTAATTAAGTCATTTATTTCCATATCAAACTGTGAAAGTCAAAAGTGTGCTGATCAGCCATCAATATGGTTCATGTGAATAATTAAAGTAAGACCAGCGCATGCGTAGACGAGAACATGTAAATATGAAGTCACCATCTCACCACTGTAGACAGGAGATCAGCACAAGGAGGCGACACATAAAGGTACACATTATAGAAAGTGATGGAATACGTAGATCTATATTATGAGGAAACCTCAGTCGTCACCAAATCTCCTCACCACCTACATACAACATACGAGTTGTGCTGGTAAACTCACCAGGAGGACATTATGAAACTTTTGAATGTTCGATGAAAATGTGGCAAACTCTTCATTGTCAAAACTGGTCTAATTGGCCAGGCATTGCATTTATTTTTTCTATCTCTCTTTTAAAAGCCAAAAATCATCTAATTACTGTCTAGGTTTATTTCTATCTCTCTTTCAGAGGCCAAAATTAATCTGATTCTAAATTCTATCTATTTTTCTATCTCTCTTTTTCACCACCTGCAGATACATTGGTCATTGTTAGACTTTGATGGGCAAACTATTACTATTAATATTTCTATTTACGACTGATGGTCAATCCATTTTTGGGCCTGGATCAAAACATTTCAACACTGTAAGTACTGGAATAGAAGGCGTGACGTCACGCATGATAATACTATGATGGACGTAGTGACTTCAATTATATTAAAAATAATTAATGACAAGTGTCCAGAATTTTTTATTCTGACGTTATTTTGCTTCACCATCGAGAGCGCCTCAGTTTGGAATCAAATGAAAATCCACACACGATTATAGCCAGACTGTTGCTTTGCCCTGTTGTGCGGTCAAAAATTTGTGGCGCAAATTATCCTCAACTATCTCTTTAACGGATGAATCATTGTCACCCATATATTTGCACAGCAGTTTGCATCAATTAAAAATTTGTCTTAACTTAATCATATTTTTCCATAACATTTGAGGCTAGATTAAAAAACTTTTCTTCTTAAATTTATATAAAATACTTGAAATCTCTGTCACACAGAAAATGGAATTGTTCACAGCACTTCCCGCTTCTCACACACATTTTGTATACGCATATGGCCTACGTCACAGCTCATCAATGACAATGTTTACTTGCAAAATCTGTACAAGAAATTAATTTTATTTTGAACACTATTTTGGTCCCCTGGTTCTCAAAACAAGCGTTCAATAAACACAATGTCTCGATTAGAAAAAATGACGGACTTGCTTTTAAAAGCAATATTGCCCCAGCTGTAAACCTTTTAAAATCTCTAGAAACCACCTACTGGCATTTTTATCAGTATTAATTAAAGGGGTTTTATAGAACACTATGTACAAGTGTTTGAAAAAAATATGAATCAGTTAACTAAGACAAATTGATAATAAATACGTCACTGTGCGAAAGTTGGAGAATCTATGTGCGATAGTTAAGGAGATATTTGACAAAAAGTTGTGCCACGCACCGATTTTTGACTGCACTATCAATTTGCGCAGCCATTGTGCGCACCAGTGCTGGAAAAGTTTTCTGGAGAGCAAAGAGTGGCAGCCATGACAGTGTCTGGTCTAGGAATATATCATGAGTTAAGTCTATGGTTGGCTGTGATCCTGATAGTGAAGGTGGGGACGACAGTGAGGCAGGGATAAATGGTTTCGATGGGAAAAAATAGCAGATTAAAATGATGATGATGATGATGATGATGATGATGATGATGATGGTGATGGTGATGATATTGTTGATGATGATGATGACGATCTTTGTGCTGGCAAGGAGGATGAGGGATAGGGGTGGAGAGGGACGGGTATCATAGAGGAGATAGAGGTGTTGAGGGGAAAGTAACAGAGACAAGGGCGTTGAAGATACATGTACAACGTTGGTACCTGAAACCAAACAAAGAAGAAAAGGGACAGACATATTGACAATAAGAGACAATAAGAGACAATAAGAGACAATCAGAGACAATCATAGACAATCAGAGAAAATTAGAGACAATCAGAGACAATCAGAATGATAATGGCAGTTTTGGCTATGATCATGCACAGTTATATATATATAATAACATACCATAGTGACTATAAAAGGAGGCAACACAATATGTGAAATATGTACAATAAGATTTCGATTGCACAGTTTTTATATATATATATAATGCACAACATTTCCTTATCAGAGGCACGCATAATGTGGTTTATGGTCATTCGCAGACACACACTTGTTCTTTTACTCATTCATCTAATAAATGTAATGTTCTCGCCTCTCTCTAAGACATCGCCGTCAAGTTTCTCACACACTGTGTATGACACACGATGCTTCTCTCAGATGCTCTCAAGATTTTCACACATAAAGCAAGACAAAGGCGAATAATGAACAAGATTTTTTCAAAAGAATATACAATATCATAATAATATTATAATGCAAATACATTTGAAAAAACAGTCAGACTGGCGTTCTGTGGCATATATAAATACTGCATTGTGTTTGAAGCATGAGCGCATCGACTGCATATGCCAAAGGACATTTTATATGATAATAATTAATATAACACAGCATGGCAGTCGGATTGTGATCAAATTGTCCGTATAAAAAGTTGAGACGCGGTATTTACGTAGCTATGTCATTAACATACTTTGACTGAAACAGATTGCGCACAAAATAAAAATGCATGACTTTTTAATGATTAATGACAATCTATATTACTTTCGATTCATTGATGTAAAAAATATCCTACAGAGACAAAAGGTATCAAAAGAACATTCTAACGATGAAATAGACGACAGAATGCTACAGCAGACGCTCTGGAAATAGATGAGAAAACCAACAATTTGTGCAGGAATACGCTGACATCAAATGATGAAATGGTACAAATACTAGATACAAATACTAGACGAATTATCAGCTGGACCATAGTCTACATAAAGTGGAAAACCGGTGTCAAGATAGAAAATATACTGTCAGGTTTAGAACTGACGCGGTGGACTAGATGGCAAGCATAACAATGGCTATTGTTTAAATTATTATATTCATAATTATGCACGACAAAGAGAATGGACTAAAATATCAACAAAAAACATTCCGTTTCGACCGTGTTATAGGCTTGGTTACTACTACTAAAGGCTTCAGATTGTACGCATGAAGGTTTTGGGAAGTGTGACATTCTGTCTAAAGCATAACCATCATGACTATTGCTTAGAATCACCTTGAGATAAAAAAAACATAGTATCCGACTCTATGAAATGCTTTTGTTTTTACATTAATTAAAAACCCATGGAACATTTTTTTGCTTCTGCCCGCTGGAACTCAGTGGTGTACCTGACCGAAAAAATCTTTATCTCAACATAAAGTGACATAATACAAGTTAACAAACAAAGTATTTTATCGTACATGGCGGTTTTATCAACAAAAAAAACTTGGCCATCTTTAGCTCCACAGGCGGGTATGGGGCGTTTTGGAAGGTATTCTCAATATTAAGACTTAAACTGACTAAAATGACTTTAGTTTTGAGGTAGCAATTTCAATATTTTGCTCAGACGGTGGTCTGAAAGGCTTACTTATTTTTTTACTTTAGATCAACCGCCAACCAATCCTTAACCTAACCACCC